ACTGTAACCAATCCAGCTGTTTCTGTACCTCAATTCTGTTTTCTGTAGGTCACTCTCCTTTTTCTGTCTATAAATCTTACTGACCACACAGCAGCCATTACTATGAATGTGTTCTGACTCTAGAGAATGTCCAATCATGAATCATTTATTTTTTTCTTGCTCAATTAAACTTTGTTAAATTTAATTTGTCTAAAGTTTTTCTTTTATCACTATCTAAAGCACCACAATTAATCATTTCAAGAATAGCTGTCCTTATACAGAAACCATTATTTACAAAATCCAGGTTATCAAAGGTAAGACACAGGATGGGTCACCCATGCACACACACTATCATAGGAAACTCAGCTCTGATCAACAACCAAGACTACTGATGAAACTGTTCAAAGATGCCTTGGTGGCACTCACATTCATATAGGGATTAAGGACCTGCTGTATAAACAGCACTTCCTACAGTAAACTTATAAAAGACCAAGACAAACCTAACAGTGACAAATTTCCCATTTCATTTGGATTGAGGCCCTAAGTAGTGTACAATCTCTCATTTCTAATTTCTCATTAGCACTGTATGAATTGTAAGTCTTCACAAATTATAATTTCTAGTCAGTTGGCCAAACTTGTGAATCATTAGCAAAAACTTTTGGCAGAAAACCTAAGGCTTAATTCTTCAACTTTACCCAAGACAAAGATATGGGAGTACTTTTTATGATCCCATATTAAATCTTAAGGGTACTCCAAAAATTAAAGTCCAACAGAAGTATGCCCTGAGCTTCCAAAGCAGATAATTTACAATGGTAGTTTTAAAACTCTTTTTGAAGAGACTGGCCTATGTAAGCTCAGTTGGTTAGTGTGATACTGATAACACCAAGGTCTAGGTTTCAAACCCTGTACCAGCCAGCTGCAAAAAAATAAAATCTTTTTTTTTTTTTTTTTTTAATAGATGACCGGTAAGGGGATCTTAACCCTTGACTTGGTGTTATCAGCACCACGCTCACCCAGTGAGCAACCGGCCATCCCTATATGGCATCCGAACCCGTGGCCTTGGTGTTATCAGCACCACACTCTCCCGAGTGAGCCACGGGCCGGCCCCCCAAAATAAAACTCTTTGAGAAACACCTTTAAAAAGTCTGACCCCAAAATACACACATGCTCACACATATAAAACTTTATATGCTACTTAAGGTACCCCCATTAAAGTCCAACCATATTCCTTCCCTCTTAGAGGAAATTCATCAAGCCCTTATTTAAGAAGTTATTTACAGTTTTATGAGATTTTTTTCTCTTAGTTTTTAAAGCACAGTCCCTTGAGGAATTTACATTGATCAATTTATGAAAATTGTATTTAGCCACAATTTTACATCAAAAGAACATTTCTTCTAAGTCCTTTAAATTCTTGCAATAGTAAAAAACAAAGAAACAACGCCCCCCTCAAACTCTAGTGTCCTTTATACACTAAGATAAAGAGCATTAAGAGTGCTCACAGGATGTGTGGCCCTGAACTAGAGGTGGCAAAGAAGAGAATTCCAACTTATTGTCAACCCAGTGACTTTGAGAAGTTTATAACATAGTTGTACAGTCTGTTAAAAAAGCAAACAAACAACAAAACTCTTTTCAACAATTTACTGACCACACTGAACAAAAGACCACAGGTGTGGTCTTTAAGCTGAAACCTTTAAATGGATAGAAAAAGGAACATGCAGGAAAAAAAGACCAAAAAAATAGAATCGCAGAAGTGAAAGAAGGAAAAACATGACTGAAGGACTAAATGTTCTAAGTAACATATCCCTAAGAATGCGTTTGACTTACCAGAAGTACTAGCTTGAAAAGCTATAGCCAATTCTACTACCCAAGTCAACTTGAGAATTGGGAATGCAAAACAACATTAGGTGGAATTGCTCAACTCAAAGGAATTAATAATACAATCATAACTTTCATAAAGATTTTTATCTTAAGTGTCACAGCAAACTGTTAAGACAGCAAAAAATTTAAGAAGCTTGGAGAAGACAAATACATGGCTCGTGTTTTACAGACTTCTGCTATCATGCCCATGGCGAACTTCACCAATCCCACCACACTTTCCCCCACTGAGCCTCATAATTTCTTTCAAAATAATCTTTCATTAGAAATCAGGGAGGGCATCAGTGAACCTATCTGTTGTCCTTGACACTATTCAACTGTTCTCCGAATACTATTCAATTCAATTAAATAAACCCAAAATTTACATTTTTATTGTCCCATGAATTTATAACAAACTTCACTTAGAGTTGTTTCCCAAAACACAAAATACTCTTTAAAAGCTTAATTTTTCTCTGCTAAAGAGAATATAACATTATGGTCAACAGAACTTCAATTAGGAGAAGACATTCCTTTTAAAAAATGTAACCCCTAGGGCCGGCCCAGTGGCGCACTGGAGAGTGCGCCGCTTGGGAGCACGGCGGCGCTCCCGCCGAGGGTTTGGATCCCATGTGGAGACCGGTTCCCGTTCACTGGCTGAGCGCGGTGCAGGCGCAACACTGAGGGTTGCGATCCCGTTGCCGGTCCCCGGTACGGGCGTGACACCGAGGGTTGCGATCCCGTTACCGGTCAGTAAAAAAGACAAAAAAGGAAAAAAAAAATGTAACCCCTCTATTAAAGAATTTTAAAAAACTAATTAACTATATTTTTCAGCAGCTCATTTTTGATCCATTTGAACTGAGAAGCCAGAGACAGGGCTGGCAGGTTACCTCAGTTGGTTAGAGCAGAGTGCTGATAACACGAAGGTACACTAAGGTTCCACCCATCAACAGCCAAAAAACAAAACCAAAAAAAAACCCCCCAACGAAACAAAAAAACAGAGATTGTCACTTTTTCTGAGTATCAATAATAAAATCAGACAGGCCATTCATTTAGGCCTATGAAAAAAGTTTGAAAAAAGAGTATTATATATATATATATATATATATATATTTATAAATTGAATAAGAGAAAGAAGCATAACATTTCTCTTGCAGTTTAAGAAAAATACAGGTCAATATTAACAAAAAACTAAAGACAATATATGGGATCATTTAAGATTTCTGTTATTTCCTCCCCAAAAGAATTTAAGGTAGAAGAGACTCCAGAAGAGGATAAAATGGAAAATAAGAACAGATAACCTGAAACTCTACGATCAAGTTACGGTGGGTGACATTTAGCATAAAATAAACCAACAGGAAAGAGCAAAAATATGAATTGAGGAATTGTAAGAGAGTCCTGTGGTATGTGAGAAAAAAAGACTTCCTACTCAAGCCTCGCAAAGAAAAATACCTTATATTCTATGAAGAAAATGGGAGGTTCCAGTTTCCTAGGCTTAACAGCCAGATTCAAGTATTATATACACATAGACAGATAACAATGCAATGTAAGGAATATAAATACCATGAAAAAGGCATGTCCCCACCCCAATTCCAACCTCAATATGTACTAATATTAAAATAATAGAGTGCTTTTAGAAACTACCTGTAGTGTCCATTAGGGGAAACCAATTCTATTTTAAATTATGTTTTCAGTTAAGTTCCTTCAGCAGAAGCTGGTAAGTAGGCATAACTTCAAATTATACAAATCTTTCACATTATATAGGGTGTAGTGGATTGAATTATGTCCCTTCAAAACTCCCTGAAGCTTGAATTGTGTCCCCCAAGTTTTATGTATTAGAATATTAGCCCCCATTGTGACTGTTAAGAGGGTGAGAAATCCTATTATGGTAATTGAAAGGTGGAGCCTTAAAGAGATAACTGGATTGTAGGAACATGCAGTAGTGAATGGATTAAAAATGGTGGTCCGGGGAGTGGTTCTGAGGGTTTTAAGAGAAGAAAGTCTGTCTGTTTCTCTGCTTCCACCATCTCGCAATGTGAGACCCCTGGGTCTCTGTTGCTACCGCCAGATGGACTTTGGACTTCCCAGCTTCAGAAACTCAGATGGACTTTGGACTTCCTAACCTCAGAAGCAACAAATTTTGTTTTCTTTATAAAGCATCCAGATGCAGGTATTTTGTTATAAGTAACAAAAATGGACTAATACATACAGTATACCCATTTAGACTTTTTCCCATTATTTCCTGTTATTTTAAGGATTGAACGGTTTGAAAAGTCTTTGCACTTTTACTCTTACAGCAAGTACAAAAGTAAAAAGAACATTCCTGCCCAGGACCTGCCCAGGACAGAAAACTCTGTAAAACAGGAGCGAAACCTGAGTTATCAGACTTGAGATACTCCCAAAGTGTAAAACCGTCTAAAACTATATCTGCATCCAATTGTCAGTTGGTGCTTTTTTCACTCGGACAGATCACTCATTTAAAAATAAATTTAAAAATTGCTTACATCCCAGAATGCATAGAGAATTAAAAAAGATCAACTGTGCTTATTAAGACAAACTATTCTGGGCACTATCTCCTTGATAAAACTGCACTATCCAATATGGCAGCCAAGGCTATTTAAACAAACTCATTAAAAGTGAACAATATTAAAAGGTTTATTCCTCAGTCACACCAGCCACATTTAAAGTATTCGGTAGCCACGTGTGGGTAAGTGGCTACTGTTTTTATTTAAAAAAAAAAAAAAGGACAAACTATTCTGAGTATATGAGTATATTCTGAAACATAAACGTACCACCAGGAAAAGTTGATACCCAGACAGTTATTGCTGGAAAGAGCTTTCGGAGCAGAGTAACACTTATTTAGTAACACTTATGTTTACAGGATACCTTTTTGGAGTGGCTTTAATCTCATTACCAGAGCGCACTTACTACATTTGAATCTATTTAATAAGTGGGTGTGGAAATCTAAATATTTATCAAAGGTCCTTCACAGAGACAATTAACGGAAGCCACTGACAAGAATTGAGGGGAGATAGATCAGGAACCCATTTCTTTTCCTTTTCCCCGGTCAGGAAAAACAAGCGACCCATCTGCGCACACCCACCCTCAGCACCCACCCTTGGCAAATGAGTAACCACAAGCGACGACTGGAGCCCACACTAGTCTCTTACCTCCTGGATGCGCTTCCTGGCCCGCTGCAGCACTTCTTCGTAGCCCTTCTGTCGCAGCTCGCTGAGGCTCTCGTAATACTCCTCGGGATCGTCGGTCTCGGTGAACAGCACCTGGGAGAGGATCTTCCAGCCACAGGTGTCCAGGCCGTGGCCCAGGTACACCTGGAGCTGGTAACACAGAGTGTCGATCTCCTGTTCTGTCATCTCGGGGGCGCCCCCGAACAGCACGGTCCACATGCCCGACGGTTCCTCGGGGAACACGGGCAGATACGGCTCCAACTGCGAGTTCACGGAGCACAGCTGCTGGTGCACGGCGCGCAGATCCTGGAAGGAGAAGAGCCCGGCCCAGCTGCACTCTTCGGCCGGAGACTCCAGCTCGGCGGAGGCCGGCGGCTGCTCCGCGTCCGGGAGCCCAAGGGGCGCCTCATCCTCCCTCGCCATTTCCAGCACCTCGATCTCCTCGGAGACCGCCCCAGAGGCGCCCACTAACCGCACCGAGGACACCGGAGCTTCCCTGGGCGTCGGCGGGGCTGCCGCAGGCGCCGCATCTCTGCCTGCAGATCCCCTCCGGGCCGGGGTGGGCTTGGCCCGCACGGGGCTCTTCAACGAACTCTCCGCCCCTCTGCCGGCCGGACTCCGCAGCAGCGGGTCCCCGCGATGACTGCGCGCGCTCCGCGGAGAGTCGCCCTCCGCCCAGGCTGGGCTCCGCCGAGGCCCGGGGCTCCTCACCGGAGTCGCAGCGCCAGTGGCCTCGGCCCGGCCCTTACCGGCCGGACTGCCCGGCCCTCGGGTCCCCTC